CGAGGGGGTGGAAAGCACGCTGTCCAAGTTTGCTGATGACACTAAGATGTGGGGTGAGGTGGACACACTTGAAGGGCGAGAGAGGCTGCAACTAGATTTAGACAGACTACAAAAGTGGGCAGATGAGAATAGGATGGGGTTCAACATAGACAAATACAGGGTGCTGCACCGTGGGAGAAGGAATCCACAGCATACATACAGGCTGGGGAGCTCCCTTCTTGAAAGCACAGAGGCAGAAAGGGATCTTGGAGTCATTATTGACTCCAAGATGAACATGAGCCACCAATGCCAGACCGCAGCCAGCAAGGCCAGCCATACCTTGTCATGCATCCAAAGATGCATCTCAAGCCAGTCCAGAGAGGTGATGCTCCCCCTCTATGCAACTCACTGGGAGAAACCGTGTGAATGGTCAGTGCACTCCTTGTTTTTAGCTGGAGAGCTGTGATTCTCTTGGTAGAAATGCAGTGCATATATATGACCTATATCTAGTATGAGCGTGTTATAATATTTCTGTCTCCAAACTTAATTTATTTTAGGCTGCATTTTCTCTCTCTTGGCTTAACATGCTATAAGCCTTGTTATAAAATCATTAACCCCAGTAGATAAATTTCTTAAAATTATCTGTTCCTTTTACAATAAGTGTATTACATTTATTCTTCCATTATTTCTATAGAGTATTTTCAGTATCTAGCTGTTGAGAAGTGAAAATGTTCTTTTCAGAAGCAAACTGGAGTGGTTCATTTGGGTTTTATTCCAGTGTCACTTCAATAGCCAAGGGGTTAGTCTGTCTAGGTTTCATTTGTCCTTTTAGTTTGAGTAATGTACATAGCCTTTGTATATTTTAAAAAGACCACATGAAATCTACTGCTAGTTTACTTTCTGTTTTCAGAAATCTTTCTGCATGCTGGAAATCTACATGTGGAAATCTCTCTTCTCTTAATCACTTACATACATATGTTTGTGAAGTCTAGGTTCTTTGTTAATTTTATTTGCATTCTTTTCTGTAAAAACAAAAAAAACCAGGACCCCCCCCCCCCAATCGTTTGATTTTTACATGTAAGTAGTTTCTTTTCTTCAATCAGCGAGCAGAAACTTACGTATTATATTATTCCCAGGATCTATAGAAAGTTAATTTTTTTAGTAATGATGAAGCATTACTTGGTTGCGTTGTGTGGCCAATTAAAATATTCTCTTCCCATTTTACTTTTTCCCATCAAAATGTCGTCATAATTTCTCATATTTCACTATAGATCTTTGCAACATGAAGCATAATGATAGATTTATTTGTTTGGGTGTCTAAGATGCAAAAAATATAATCAATATCATTTTGTTTCCTGGTGTACATTGGTCTGCAATTGATTTTAGTTGTTGAGTCTTCTGAAGGAATATCATTACTCTAAAACAAAATTGGATAAAGAAGATATAAAAGATAAAACTCATACCTCCACTACCTGCTACAACACTCTGCAATCTGATTTCTTCGGTAAAATCATTTATTTGATCATCATCATAGCAGATGGTAAACCTATAAAGTATATTAACTTTGTCTTTTTTACAAGAGTATTAGAGCTTGGGTCTGCTGAAATAAGTTTTAAATATGGTCCTTTTGGTCTTACACCAGCAAAACCAACAATTTTCATTCCGGCTGGTGCTAAAATCCAATATTTTTTTTTATCAGATGAATATATTTGAACGTGTTTTTCAAAATGAATGCATATGTCAAAGTAACAGGGGAACTACCATTCATTTTGTTGCTCTTTTTCCTTTTAAAAAGAGCATAAAGTACTGCGATTGTTGCCCTTTTTAAAGAAATGGCAAAACTTTAGGATTATTTGATTTGATTTAAAGTTTTATGTAAAACCGAAAAGCTCCCTTACATTCATCGAACCTGGCCTTCTGTATAATACAAGTCATAGGATTTGTTAACCTTGTTCCCATTTTGAATTAAAATATTATAGAGAAAAATGGCCATTTTCATGGATCAGTCTGTGGGCAAGGCAAAGGCCCCCAAGGGGATACATGAATGCCAGGAGCTTGGGGAATAAGCAGGAGGAACTTGTCTCCTGCTTAATGCAAATAATTATGACGTCATAGGGATAACGGAGACCTGGTGGGACTCCACCCATGACTGAACCATGGGTATAGACAGCTATACCCTGTACAGGAGAGATCAAGTAGACAAAAGGAGTGGTGGTGTAGCTCTCTATGTCAAGGAGAGCTACGCGTCCCTGCAAACTGATATTGGCGACCAGGGTGGATGACTGGAGACCCTCTGGGTTAAAATCCGTGGTGAACATGGCACAGGGGACACAATGGTGGGAGTCTATTACAGACCTCCCACCCAAAGTCAAGAACTTGACTAGGAGTTCATCAGGGAATTGACTGAGGGCACAAGTTCCCAGTCCATGGTTGTCATGGGAGACTTCAACTACTCAGACATCTCGTGGGAAGAGCGCTCGGCTAAATCTTAGCGGTTGCAAAGCTTCCTCTCGTCCGTGGATGACTTCTATCTGACTCAGGAAGTCTATGGGCCAATGAGAGGTAAAGCGCTGCTTGACCTGGTACTGGCAACTGGGGACGACGTAATCAGTGACCTAAGGATCGATGGGAAGCTGGGTGACAGCGACCACGAGCTGATCACCTTCACCATCCGCCGTAAAGCTGGCAAGTCATTCAGCAATACTGAAGTCCTCGACTTCAGGAAAGGTGATTTTGACAAGCTCAGGAGGCTTGTCAGTGAGGCCATAAGGGGCCATGACCCAAAGGGGAGGGGCGTTCAGGATGAGTGGTTGCTCCTCAAAGGAGCGATCCTGGATGCACAAGCTAAGTCTATTCCATCTCAGAGGAAAGGCAGCAAAAGAGCACAGCAGTCCCCTTGGCTCTCCAGGGAACTAGCAGACCTCCTGCATCTAAAAAGAAAGACGTACAAAGGATGGAGGACTGGGTCCACCTTTGAGGAGGAATATTCTGCACTGGTCTGGACCTGCAGGGAGCGAACCAGGAAAGCCAAGGCTGCGACAGAACTCCAGCTAGCTACATGTATCAAGGACAATAAAAAGTCCTTTTTCAGATATGTGGGGAGCCGGAGGAAAAGCAAGGGCAACATTGGACCGCTGCTAAACCAGATGGGACATCTGACAACTGACGCCCTGGAAAAAGCCAACCTATTAAGTGGGTACTTTGCGTTGGTCTTTCATCAGTCCTACGGGACACCCACGCCCATTATGGGACAGGGCGGCCCAGGTGAGGGAAATTCCCTGCCCTCCATCAGTGCTGAAAGGAACACCTTGAGAGCCTGGACACCTTCAAGTCAGCCAGCCCTGACAGTTTTTACACCCTAGGGTACTCAAGGAGCTGGCTAGCATCATAGCCCAGCCCCTGGCATGGATCTCCGAGAACTCCTGGCGCTCTGGGCCATCCTTTACAGACTAGCTGATGGCAATATCCTGAGGGATACCCAGCATGGGTTTGTTGTGGGTAGGTCTTGCTTGACCAATCTCATTTCCTTCTAGGACCAGGTGATCTATCACCTGGACAAGGGAGAGGAGATTGATGTCATATACCTTGACTTCAAAAAAGCCTTCCATCTGGTATCCCATGATCACCTCTTGGCAAAACTGGCCAATTGTGGCCTTGAGTTCACCATGATCCGCTGGCTGGGGAATTGGCTCCGTGGTTGGACCCAGAGGGTGGTGGTTGACGGAAGTCAATTGTCATGGTGCCCTGTGACCAGTGGGGTCCCCCAAGGCTCCGTCCTTGGACCTGTATTGTTTAACATCTTCATTGATGATGTGGACATTGGAGTTAGAAGTGGACCGGCCAAGTTTGCCGACGACACCAAACTTTGGGGTAAAGCATCCATAACGGAGGACAGGAGGGCAATCCAGGCTGACCTTGACAGGCTCAGGAAATGGGTGGATGAGAACCTGATGGTGTTTAACACTGAAAAATGCAAGGTTCTCCACCTTGGGAGGAAAAACCTGCAGCATCCTTATAGGCTTGGCAGTGCTACACTGGCTAGCACTACGGATGACAAGGACTTGGGGGTCATGATTGACCACAAGATGAACATGAGCCTTCAGTGTGGTGCTGCGGCTAGTAAAGTGAGCAAAACGCTGGCTTGCATCCATAGATGCTTCTCAAGCAAATGCTGGGATGTCATTCTCCTGTTTTACTCGGCCTTGGTGAGGCCGCAGCTGGACTACTGCATCCAGTTTTGGGCTCCACAATTCAAAAAGGATGTGGAGAACTTGAGAGAGTCCAGAGAAGAGCCATGCGCATGATCAGAGGTCAGGAAAACAGACCTTATGACGACAGGCTGAAAGCTATGGGGCTCTTTAGCCTGAAAAAGCGCAGGCTCAGGGGCAATCTGATGGCCACCTACAAGTTTATCAGGGGCGTTCACCAGGTTCTGGGGGAACGATTGTTCACCAGAGCCCCCCAAGGGATGACGAGGTCGAACGGTTATAAACTCCCGCAAGACCGTTTCAGGCTGGACATAAGAATTTCTTTACTGTCCAAGCCCCCAAGGTCTGGAATAGCCTGCCATCGTAGGTGGTTCAAGCACCCACATTGAACGCCTTCAAGAGAAATTTGGATGCATATCTTGCTGGGATCCTGTGACCCCAGTTGACTTCCTGACCCTTGGACAGGGGGCTGGACTCTGATCTTCTGAGGTCCCTTCCAGCCCTAATGTTTATGAAATTATCCAGCGTGATGCCCAAATTCCTTTTCATAGTTGCTGCTTCCTAAGGTAAAGGCATGTTTCCCCACACCTAAAGTATGGCACATACTGTGTTCCTTGATCTTTACATTTTTACGGTTGGTCACACACTTTTTTCTCATAGCAGAATTGCTCTCTTTGTTATTTATGACTCCCAGGCCTCTGTCATCTACAAACTATGTTGATTATGATTTTGTTCTCTTCTAGGTCATTGATAAAAATTTTAAGTAGCACAGTGAAAAAAAACAATCCTTGTGGGGCCTGACTAAATGTGCATTCATTCAGTGGATAATTTCCTGTTTTACACTTACGTTTTAAGTAAGTCTATACCATGTCTCCAGTGCTCCTGGGCAGGTATGTTCCTGAGCACTCCCTATTCACTCATTCTCCTATGTGCCAGGCCTGGAAATGTGTCAGTGAAGCTACTGTAGCATTGCCCCCTCCAGGCGTCTCTTGTGATGCGTGCCACAAATGAACTTCACTGCCACATTTCAAATTTGGTATGTGCAGGAGCAGGTGGGCAGGGTGTGCTTGAGAGTGCCCCTTCCCAGATGTGACGGAGGTACAGTACAGGCACACCCTTTCAGGACCTGTTGGTTAGCCAGTTTTTAATCTGTTGAATGATTGTCATGTTGTAATTATATTGTTTTAGGCTCTTAATCAGAATACTGGGTAGTATCAAGGCATATGTACAAACTATAAAACTAAACATAAAATGTTTGTATTGAATATATAAAGTCATATTGTATGTCTGTATAAAAGAGATTTTAATAAACTATATATAAGCTGTTCCCCTGTAGGAGAACACTGTGTGTGTGGGGGGTGGGGCGGAGAATAGGGTTTGCAGAATAAGCAATACTAATTGTTTAGAAAAAACAAGCTCTGGGAAATTCTTGTTTGCTGGTTTGAGAGTTCATCCTGCTTCCACTACAAATTTTTTTCTTGTAAAAGAAAGAGATGTTGGATCATAAAAGTTGTTCAATAAAAATATGAGCACATTGGTATATTTTAATTCTATGCTTTAATTCAGGAAAGCCTCTAAACGTGTACTTAATTTCCTTTGACCTCAGTTTTGTAATCAGTATGACATAAACACGTGCTTTGCTGAACAGGCCATGTATCTGAACGTCTTTCTATTATGCTTATACGTATGTTTTGATGGTTAGTTTTTTATAATTTACTTGGTCCTACATTTCAGCAAACATTTTCTATTCATTAAGATACTTTTCCTAAGTTATTTTCTTACTCTACCTCTGTTTTGAGACTAAAGCACAAGGAAGACTTGTTATGATAATACTTGTATTACTAAAGCCATTGTTTCTCACAGAAAAGCATTGGTTGTGCCAAAAGATTACTTTTGCTTTTGTCTGTGCCAGACACGACTTTTTTCTTGGCCCCTGGATCAATTACAATAAAGTATAACAGTGCTGTCAGCTGTAAAATGTAGTAAACTTGCAAAAACTGCAGGCTATATAAAGTACATTTTTTGGCATTTCTAGAGAGACCTGCAGGATTGCAGAGTTCTCTTTTACAGTACATCATAGGGGTCCAGCACTTTTTAGCTGATAGCACTATAGTGTAATTAACCATTCAGTGGAAATTCCTTTCTGCATGCTGTCTTTTTATGAAGCTATAGTTAAAGGATCGAGACAAATAATTTCTTAGGAAAACAGCGAGTGGTTAGAAAAGTTTGTTCCCTTTCGTTAGTTCCTTGTACTTCAAGTTGTGTTTTCTTTACTTTCATTTTTCCCTCACTGGCCAAACTACAGAATAAACACATTTTTCTGTGATCAATAACACTTGTGATTGTTTGTCTCTAGAAATAAGTTTCATAGTTGTTAGGGGCTGGAAGGGACCTTATAGGTCATCTATTTTTCATCAATATGGAGCTGAATGGACTGGCTGGTGCTCTGTGAGAAGTAACCCCAGTGTGTTATGCACCTTAAAAGTGGTGCATGGTACACTGACACACAACATGCTAACAGTACATCAGATCTTCCCTTAGAGAAGTCTGATTGGAAGAAAGGAAGAAGTGGATAACATTTCTGTTTTTGATGTTTAGATGTACAGAGACACAGTAGAAAATAACTGTTCTGGTCTTTTGTGAAATGTCTGTACTACTAATGATGACGTTTCTTTTATTTGAAATATGAACTTCTCTGAACTGATTCTGATCATGCAACGTTTCACTATTGCTGCACTAGCACTTACCCAAATCATACAAGCAGCAGGAAAATATTACTGTAGAGTCAGATGGATCAAGTGATTTGTCTAAGGTAGCAATTCTCAACCAGGGTGCTGCAGCAACCTGGAGTGCTTTGAGGTCTTTCAAGACTGCTGCAGAGTTCCATGCAATATTAGCACTGTTAGGTGTGCAAACATGATTCATATGATAAAACCAGAGATTTCAAACAGGACTCCATGATGTTAAAATATTCTAACCCTTTTGTGCTGTTCCTGAGTTCTGTGCAACAGAAGGATTGTTGTATTATTTTTCTGTAGTCAAAAGAGTATGTGGCAAACTACGAGCTTGTGGTGTACATTGTGTCTAAAAAGGCTGAGAACTACTGGTTTAAGGTCTTGGAGTAAATTAGTGGCACAGTTACTTCAACAGCCTTGTGTCCTGGCTCCATTGTTCAGTTAACCAGATTATTCTGCTTCTCTGCATTAAACCTGGTAACTCTCTGGTTAAGACCACCAGAAGCGGTAAAGCTGTGTTACCATTGAGCTCAGCACAGGCTCATTTACCCTGAAAAGGACTGTGGGGTGTAGATATACCCTAAACCTTTCAACTAGCTTTTTGTTCTTTGTACTACATTTTTTTCCAGCTGCACTTGTCTGAATACGGGTTTTCTTTTGCAGCCTGAGTCATTAATCAAACAGTGAGCGAATTGTTTATTATTTACTACCTTAATATTTTTATTTCAAGAAATACTACTTTAAACTTTGTGTAGAAGGATATAAGGTAAAAGAAAATCAAAACTGTTGCATTTGAGACTTATACTCTACATTTCCACCTTTTGTATTGTATTTTAAGCCTGAACTTTTCTTTTCCTCGTTTAGGTATGGATGAAAGAACAGGGGCTTCTTGGGGAACAAGTGGTCAGCCAAGTCCCTCGTATGAGCCATCCAGGGTAAGACTTCTAAATAACTATTATGGGAATGGTTAATACAAATGAACACCTTTGTGCAAGAAACATCCCTTTAAACATTTATATCACTTTCTTTTGATAAATTTACATGAAGTAAGAACAGTAGTAAATGAGCACCATATAGATGTCTATAGTGTGTGTGTGTGTGTGTAGTGATTTTCAACTTCAAAACATTTGATAAACTCTGACCTTCACTACATACTTGTACTGTGGGTGTATATTTTACAGTGAAAAAATGAAAGTACAAATTAAATGAATTACTGAATGATTTTAAGTTCTTTAAAATATGCCAGTATAATACACTACAATAAGTTTGATTGACAGAACCAAATTGATTAAACCAGGGTGTCAAATGCATCTGATTTGATGGGCCAAATGAGCATCCCTGAGCCAGTCTGTAGGCCAGACCAGGGCTAACCTCTTGCAGAGCATCCAGTGTGTCAGTTCCTGCCTGTGCTACGCAGGTGCCAGCCCTGGGGTGGGCTTGGGGCACATGCTGCCTTGTTGCATGTGGGCTGGGCCACGTGCTACAGTCAGCAAAGGGGGGGTCAGTCTGGGTGCTACATGAAGCTAGTGCCCCAGACCCCTCGTTCTGTGTGCAGCACTAGGTCCAGCCCACATGCTGCAGGTAGCAAATGCCCCATGGTGGCTTGGGGGGCTGGTGCTTGCACAGCAAGTCCTGGGGCTAGGTGGTCCAGTATGTGGCGCACGGGGATGGATTGATCATGCATGCAGCATGTGTCACAAGGGGGCTGGCACAGGGCCCCCCTTCTGACCAGCCCTGCACACTGGGTCTGGGTCCGGCTGCACACTGCAGGGAACCTGCACCCTGTGCTGGCCTGCCGTGTCATGTGCAGCATACACTAGGCCCTGGTCTTGCTGCGCTTGTGCCAGCTTCTGGGGCCAGCATTGGGATGTAAAACTACCTGCACCTTATGGACTGGACCTAGCACTGCAGGCAGCACAGCAGGCCCAAGGGAGTGGGCTGCATTCGGTTCCCTGGACTGACCCCCTGTGCTGCCTGTAGCTTTCCTGGCATCAGGTCCAACCCATGTGCTGCATGCAGCTCGTAGCACTAGGGCCAGTCCAGTGACCCCTGGGTCAGATCACTTGACTGCACACTTGGCACCCTGGGTTAAACAATGTCCAAAAAATTACCATCTTTACCTGGAGCCAAGGCGAACCCCCTCTAAGGTTTGCCTTGTCCTCTGTCCTTTGCTCACCTGCCCCTCCATGCCTGTTCCTGTCTTCCTGCTTCCACCCTATAGCAGGAGTTAGGAGGTGGGGGGCAGGCTACAGGTTTCTCCCCCAATTCATCCCATGGTCTCCCCCACTCTTCTCCTGGCCATGTTCCCCCTTTCTGCCGAACATGCTAGTCCAGCCCTAGGCAGGCAGCATCTCAGCTCTGGCTTCAGTCCGAGGTTAAAGCCGGAGTTGAGCTGCCACTTGTCCCAGGCTGGTACTCAAATTCAGGATGAGGCATTTTTCCCCCAGGCTGGTGGGGAAATTCATTTTGAATTTGGTAAACTCCTCCCTTTTTCCTTTACTGTAGAGTACAGCTCCTCTTTCATATTGTTATTCCCCTTTATGTATTTACCCACACACTAGAAAGTCAACAATTTCAGTTCTTTGTGAACTAATTGCTGAAAATAGCTAACACCAGGGGTAGGCAACACTTCTGGCTATGAGCCAGAATAATCTACTGAGGGTACTCCTCTCCGCAGCAGTCCCTGGAGAGCACCACAGTTGGCACTCATCCCCACGTCCAAAATCCCACATCCAAGGGCTGGATCTGGCCCATGGGCCATGGGTTGCCCACCCCTGGATAACACAGTTGAGAAATTCACTTAGAAAACACTCTTTTCTAGCCCCTTTACATTTAAACCATAGAACTGTTCACTTGTGCATTGTGGCTAATTTTCACCTATAGGCAAAAGACTGTAATGAAAGCCTAGGACTTTTTCATCAATGAGGTTAAAAAGGATCTAAAATTTTACCTAGAATGGTTATTGTATGTAGATCATGGAACATAGATGTAATTTCTTGTGTATGAGAGAAGCCTTATTGCAGGTGCACAGCTCCATTCTGCACCACCTAAAGTTTCTAGGTGATAATAAGATTCAAGTCAGAGTGGCAGGAAGACTTGGATCTTGGAGGCTGGATCCAAATTCAGGAGTTCTGACTCCCAGTGTTCTCTTCAGACTAAGACTGGGTTTATCTTGAGGGTGTGAGGGGTATTGAAAAAATGGAGAGGCTTGTAGCATTTCTTGGCAGCTTTCATGTAGAATAAAACTGCTGTCAGATTAGTGCTAACATATTATATGGAAAATATGCCTTGCATCTTTATGGGGCATGTTGTCACAACTAGTACTGGGGGAAAAAAAGCACTAGAAAGATTAAAATACTCTTAAATCTGAGTTTCCACACTCCTCAGTCAGTAAACTACAAATGAGTATGAAAATCTATTGAATCGTGAAAGACATATAGTATGTTAAAACTTCAACTTCAGATCTGTAGTATGGAAATAATGCACCATATTTAAACACTAGTAAATATCTAATACCTTGAAGCATGAACTCAGGTCTTTTCTTTAGTAGACTTTGCAACTACTTCAGCATTTGAAATGGCATCTTATTATTTTTTCCTGTCTAACGGATGTTTTTGCTCTAAATGTCTTGAGCATGTTGATGGTTATGGGTGAGCAACTTCATATATGGGTATTAATTAACGAAGGACTGATTTACCTCCCTGGGATTTGAGCTTGTGCTTCCTAGGCTGTGTATTTTCTTTGATTTTTTTGGCGGGGGAGGCAGATGGATTTTTGTTGGTCCACCAATGTGAAGTTGGAATTTCTTCTATTTTTCTAAGAGATTATTAGGAATTTTAAACTTGGCCAAATCTCAGGAACATGTGACTTACACCCCCAGTGGAAGGAAGAAGGTCACTGATGCGATACTAACATATTTGAAGCAAAGGCAAGAGATTAATACTATTCTTTCATAGATTTATGAATATTGAAAGAAACATAAATGTAAACCTAGCTTGAGCTAGGCTCTACTAGAAAATACAAAGGGGAAGAGAGAAAGGAGCCAAATATTTAAAAACAATAAAATTGGCCACAAACAGGAAACTTTCATTTATAAAAGGAAGATAATACAGAAACGAAATATGAAGTCAGATTCTGTCTTTCTAACATTGAAGAGTGTTTAACTGTAGGAGGATTCCCACTGAAATCAATTGGACAATTCAAAGGCAATAATTAGGTTTTGTAAAGGTGGCAAAATCTTGTCTTAAATCTTTGTTCTACTACTCTCCCATACTTGGTATTCTCTAATTCATTAATTGATATGGTGGATTAGTTGAGTAATACCAGTTATGTATGTCTTGGAAAAAGGAAAATTAGTGTGTTTGCACATATGTAAAACTAAATGCTGTAATTTAGGCCTCTGCCACAAGTTATACTTAAGACATGATTAACCAGTTAATCATGTTTTAAGCTGTAACACAGCCACACATTAAAACATTTAAGTGTCATAAAACAAGGAACAATCCACAAAGTTATTCCACAAAAAATGTGTAATCATTTTGTGGTTGGTTCTTATCATGCTATTATTAATTGACTGCATGACCAGGTGTGCCCCTGTGGCTAAGAGTTCTGTCAGCTGATGGGGCTCTCGGCTGCAGGGGAGCACTGTACCCATGAAGCTGGGAGCCTGCAGCTGACATGGCTCCCAGTTGTGGTGGCACATGCTTTGCCTTCATGGCTGGGAGCCCTGTCAGCTGAGGGAGCTCCCAGCCACAAGCAGTGGTGCAGGCAGAGCCTGAGATCATGATCCCAGGCTAACTCTGCACCAGCAGTAAGGCATGATTGGATCTGATGCTCGATTCCACAATCATGCCTCCTGCCATGCATGTGTCATGGCACGAAGTGAGATTGTGTTGATCGTGCATCAGATTCCATCACATCTTTACCTGCATGTTTGGTTGAGGTTTTAGTTATGTTTCATAGTCTCATAGTAGCTAGGGTCAGGAGGGACTTGAACAGATCATCTAGCCTGACCCCTTTCCACAAGCAGGAATAGTTTCACAGTTTCATAGATTCAAAGTAGCTAGGGTCAGAAGGGACCTGAACAGATCTAGTCTAACCCACTGCCACTGGTTGGAGCACATGCTGGGATCACATGACCCCAGACAGGTGTTCATCCAACCTCTTTTTGAATTTACCCAAGGTAGGAGCGAGGACCACTTCCCTAGGAAGTTGGTTCCAGATCCTAGCTACCCTGACAGTGAAATAGTGCCTCCTAATCTTTAACCTGAACCTATTCTCTAGCAGCTTCTGGCCATTGTTCC